GCCAAATTTTCTCCAAATTGTTGTTAACATCCATATTTACAATTTCCATTTCCTGATCCATTGGCTTGGACATGTCTCATAACTGCAGAACAAAGATGTCACTGACTTACACTGCATTTTGAGAAGACAAAAACAAAAAGGAAAAAGAAAATGTAATCAGCAGAAATTCAACATATTGTAGTTGAATATTGAATTCATTTCAAATGGGAAACAATAATTTTATTACATTTGTATATATATTTTCACTTTGAACCCCTTGAAATCTCAGAAAATCCTGGTCCCCTCATGAAATAAATTCCAAGTCTAACTACAAAGCATTGAATACGATCCAATGATGTCGTCAATGTGTGTCTATATCCTCCAAACTGTTTTGGTTTTCACAATATTGTATCTTGTAGGTGGAAGAATTTATGTCTGGTGTGCACGAGTCTTTTTTTTTCTTTCTTGACATATATGTGTACTATTATAATACTAACAGTGCCCAATCATGATAATGATATTTTAGATTTAACTTTAAATGCACTTTATACATGGCTCTTCTGGTTTCTCTATGAATATAACAGTTGTACATTTTACCCAAGTCTGATGTATAATACAGGAATGCATTGAACTGCTGAATTTGCATGCAAATTTATCACATAATGGTCCTTATGTATACCATTATAATACAGGTGGACCGATCCCCTTGGAGGAAGAAGTTCACAACAAGTACGCAGTTAGAGGGCATAGATACTTTATTGGTTGGGGGACTGATTCCAAGTTTGACTGATGTGATGGAACCAAAATACGGAAACCCCAACCTGACAGTGAACTTCACTGGATGTTTATCAGGTATATTTGGGAGGTCAACAAGTCACAAAAATGAGATAAACCTACATTTTGTCACATTTTGATATCATTACTACATTTTTCCGGCAAAAAACTGTAAACTCATTACCGTACATACTAGTTAACGAGCCAAAAACAACTTTTACCGCTAAATATATTTAGCCAGGTATGTCGGTATATGAGTTCTAATCAATAGAATTCACACACTATCTAATCAGAAAGTACATATATACAATAATTTTGTCGAAATTTAATTATTTAGCGTTTATAAACATTATGGCCAGTTTACAATTTGTTACAAATCGAGGGAATGAGGCTAACTTATATTGTTATAAATATAGAAAAAATAAGACTTTCAAAAACTCAAAATTGTTAATGCGTTGTAAAAGAGTTTACAAAGCAGTGCAAAACAGACCTCGACGATAATTATTGGTTGATTTAATGCAAAAAAACAACATCCTGTTCAAAATAGTTTACTTTCACCTCCTCTTGGTGAGCATGGTTTACAGATGTAAAATATAGATTAATGCATGTACATGTATAGGTTTACAGTCCGCATAAGTGGCTGGCTAGAAAGAGGCAATGTAGCGGTAATGTACACTTTTTTATGTAGCGGTAACTATGTTTTGCTCATTTTTGTGGATTTGGCGTGCCATAGGTATATATCTTTTTTTTGTTTTCAAGAGAAGAAAGTCTTTGAGAGATCAAGAACAAGAGATTAAAAGCAAAGTTTGAACCATCTCAGTCAAATTCCCAAACAATATGTATCTTTTAAAAAGAGACACCTGTATATTATGTATAGAAAAATTGCAATGTTTATATATTGTAATTTTGAAGATTAAAAAAAAAATATTCTACAATAGATGTAGTAAGTTTGGTTTTTTTCAGATGTCAATTACAAACCAGTGAGAGGAGGCTCCTTTGAAGTACAACCCATGAAACAGCTGAGGGACCTTAAGAATGGCTCCATGAGTGTGTACGGGCCTGAGGTTCCTCAATGCTCACCTGTGGACTATGACGATCATCTGGTGTCCACAACATCCACAGTCTACGTACCTACTACAACAGCTAATCCACTGGTTAGTGCACAGTCTTCAGCAGTATTTTGTGTTGTTTAACAGAGATTTATGTAGTAGAGTTGTTGAACCTTTTGGCCTTTGGGATTATTTTAAAGACCTCACTTTGGTCATTTTGACATAGTGATGACAATAAAACCTACTTTTTGTGGAACTTGGGTATGAGAAAATCTTGATGAAAAGGAATTTATTATCTTAACCCAAATCACAATACCTTCTTATATTGAAATAAAAGAATTTTAGTTACATGAAATTATAAAATGGTGTCCAGTTAACTTCCTTAGCAGCAAGTTTTATGCTAGCCTAGTAAGTTATATTGTTTTTTTAACAGGACTTTTTTTATTTAGATAATAAATTTCTATTTGTTTACAATAGTCTGGTGTTACAATGCCACCCTGGGATGTAGGAGGCCCCAAAATTTACATCATTGGAATTGGAAACAACGGAACAACTCCACCGCCACCTACCACCACCACTTCTACTACCACCACAGTTGCCATTGTCACCACTGCGGTAGACCTCCTTACCACCGAGGAGGGACCTACAAACATAACACTGTTAATGGGACAAATCACCACAGATAAAGTGTCCTCAATGACTATCTGTAAGAGAACTCTTGCCTACTTATAATGCCACATTTTATATGTACATAAAATTGTAGATAAAGGAATTTTTTTAACTTTTTAAACTTTGTCAATGATTCAAATTCAAAGTTCTCCCAATTGTAAATCTTTTGATCATGAGAACAACACATTAAAGTCATATGCTGATATTTTGGGAAGTCCAATAATGTAGTTGATGTCTTTTAACCGAGTTTGTAACAGTAAAGGATATTATTTTCCAGTGATAGTGTCTACGTTGCTGGCTCTGCTGTGTCTTATAGCCATTCTGATTGCTGTTGTCATGAGACGCATGCGGACTCGTTACGTCACGTACGATGTCCGCAAGAAATACAATTTTGATGACTTTGAGCTGAAGGAGCCGCTAAACCATAACATGGAGACATACAGCCCCGCTCCCCCACCCCCCAAAAAAGACATTCATATCGCCACATGGGATGAGTTCAGCATGGTGTCAGCTACATTAGGATGTATGTATGGAAAAAATGATTTTTGTTATTTATCAATAGCTTTCTTTCATATAAGCAGAAACATAGTTGCATGGCTTTCTTTCACATACGTATTCAGAAATATAGATATTATAATGCTTAATGTTTTTCATTGTAGCAAGTAAAAAGAAACAAAATGGAATTCTCCCAGGAAAAGTTAACACAGTAAGTGATATTTATATAAATGTAACAAACTTTATTGAATAACAAAAGATTAAATTGATTAACCAGTAGTAGTATCTTAATTTCAATGCTCATTGACTGAATATGACATTGAGTTGAGGTCCCGGCACATGGTGTCATTTTCTTTAGGTTTTTATCCAGTTTTGTTATTTATTAGTTACCTGCAGACGTGAGGAACTTAGAATACCCAGTACAAACTACCTTCCTACCAGACGACAACACAAAGTACCCAGTATACAGCTGTAAAAAGAACAGGCCTGCTTCTTCTATATCAGAAGTACTGGAGGAAATGGAGAGGCAGCAAAGAGCTAAAGGTCTGTACACTGAAGGCAATGTGTAAATAAAGATAGGTTTATCTAGCTCTCTTGCAGACAAGTTTTGGGTAAAACTGCACATGGTGTCATATATAAACTGTTTCTCTTTATTTCATTCTCAGTACCATCTTTTGGCCATGGATAACGGTCACTCAGTTGTTATATTTTATTTTAAGTGCACCAGTTGACTAAACAAGTAGTTTTGTAAGCTTATTGATGTTAAACCAAAGCTTCAGTACATGTCTTTATATTGTCCTTATTCTAATAATGCAGGTGTTTTGCTTTTGTACGTTGTTTCTCATACACAGCTATTATCTCTATCTTTGAGTTCAGCCTGTAATTTGAATTTTAGAGCTTGGTGCTGACCCGGATCAGTACGAGGAACCAAAGTCCCACGGGGAGGGGGATCTGGAGTGGGACCCCCTGGTCGACCACACCCCACTCACCATGGTATGTATCGACTTTAACTAGGTCATTGTAGGTCTTAACTTCATTGTCAAGAAATGCAATCTTTCTGTCATTCCTAAGAACAATGGTATTTAACATTTTCATTTATTATTTTAATTACATACAATTCTGTCAAATCCTAAATGTCTTTTTTTCACTACAACACTGAATATAGTATTTCTCTGTATGGTATATATCCTAGGAAAACCTAAGTTTAACTGTCATTTGGTACTTTAAGTGTATTTAGTTCGATTAATACTTAATTTCACAACAATTTTGATTAGATTTGCATATGCATGATCTATGTCCTTCCTGGGTATTGTAAGCCTGATGAATTACCCCATATTTCACTTTCACACTCTAATTGTAGATTTTCAAGAAATAACATCTCTTTTATTTATCATTTTAAACTCTAGAAAACATTATACCCATGTTTTATCTGACATTTAAACTCTGGAAAACATTATTCCTGTGTTCTGTTGTTGGATACTTTTTCATTATTCATTATAAAGAAGCTACAATCAAAATGATATTTAGGCAAGGAAAAAAACAAAACAAAACAAAAACAATCCCCCAACAAAATTGATAAATAATGTATAAATTTAAATAAATCAGCTGCAAGCAAACTGAAAAGGGTTTTGAGCTTTTATTGTTGTGTGTTGCAAAGTATATATAATTTATTTGAACAAACGCTTGTCAATTTCGCTGTAAAACCAAATCCAGACCTTGATTTTTATGCAGAATTTGACTTTATCTCTTATTCACCAGGGAGTCCCTGACACTATTTATGAGGTTTGTATGTTTTGTAGTCATATCTTGCAACAGAGCAAATTCTGGTTACAGGACTTGGGTGGCTCTATATGCAGATCTCTAACTTCTCTATCAGTCTCTATTTTAGTTCTCTGTGTGTCCTAATACTTTCTCTTTTGTCTCTCCTTCAATGTCAACTTTTGTTTCTTTTTAATCAGAATGAAGATTTCTTCACCTCACTGTGAATCAATATAGATTTTTTTTTTTATAGTTTTATTGTATGATGTTGTAAGCTAGAATTTATTTATTATTTTGTGAATAATATCACTTTTATTTCTGTTGTCACTGTAAACTTTATATGTGCTAGTTTTAAGAGAGAGAGAAAGAGGATTTATCTGTATGAAGATCTTTCTCAGGTCTGCTTGCCAAATTATTGTAGAAAAAGAATACAACAGTATATGAGGCAATTAAAGAAGCTTTTGCAATGCTTAATGAAAAGGAATTGTCCCAAAAAGGATTTGGATCCCAGACGAGTGTCAGCTCAAACTCTAAATAGAGGGGTACTCGTGCACTCATGTATCTTCAGCTTAAATCCCATTCTTTGAAGCAATATAATTCTTCATTTTAATATGGGACTGTAGTTTATTTAACTGACCAGGAATCATCATTTACCCCACCTCTGTCGATTTTTCCATGAAATCCTGGCTTACGATTGGTTGAAGACTGTCACGTGAAGGCGATGGATTACTTATACACGGTTGTAAATCTATACCCGGTCGATGTATTACGTCACAAACACAAACGTGACGTCATAATAGGCACAGTATAAGCGTGATGAAGCATTTAATTAGCAGAGAAAACCATTTATAAACTACAGATAAAACGTAACTGTTTCATCGGTGGGGTAAATTCGTTACATAGTCTTTTAGTGACAAGGTTTGGGATGATACCTGGTTAGTAAATTTCATACCTGGCGAGGCGGAGGGAATCATCATATATGGTTTTTCCATACAATCATAACACTTTGTAGACCCACAGTAGGAAAAATAAATTTCAAATGGTACAATTTTTACATGAATGGGTAACCCAGTTATTTATGCAGAAAAGAGCACAATTAGTGTAACACTATATAGCTGTAGTTCCTATGGCAAGTTTATTTGGTTGAGGCTTTATTGTTTGAATTGAGAATTGAACTTTTATTTCTATTTTATTTACAAAATATGAAAGCATGATATTTATTGAAAAACTCTCAAAACATAAATTCCATATGTTACTTTTTGGAAAAATAAGTTATACAGTAAAACTTGTTCAACTCATTATTTTATAATCCAGAATATTGCTTATCACAATAGAAACAGATCTGCCTATCACAAAAGAAACATTTCATGCCCTTCAATAAATGAAATTGTTTTGAAGTTCAGATTAGACAATTTAATTACAAATTTTACAGTACATGTATAATGTTTATAAAGATCTAAGAAAGACAAAAAAATAATGAAACTGCATGTGAAGATTTATATGTACTTGGTATGAGAGATGGGAAATAATTAAAAATCTTTAATTTTATCGAATGTCCAGAAGAGAAAAAGATGTGAAGGAGAGATTTCCTTTAATTAGCTAACTTCTCATGTTAAAATTTACAAGCACTGTAGATCACTAAATTTTCGCGAGATTGTCATTGATTCTTTGTAAGCGAGACATAATTTTCACGAATAGTTGTTATTCTTCTATATAATCGTAAGGAATACTTTTATACGCGGGAATTAAATTGTCGCGAACGCATTGTCTCGCGTAATTATGCGAAAATTAAGTTCTCGTGAATAAAAAGTGATTTACAGTATCTTTGAAAAATCCCTTTAAACTGCATTTACTTGTTCAGTTCAATCATAAAAAGGAATGCTTCCTGATAAAGAACAAGTTAAGTCATGACAAATGGCCCCCTTTTAATGATTTCTGCTTTAGCTAGAAGATCCGCTTGCTTTTTTAACATATCATTCAGCTTTCAATGATTTATTTGTAATTTTAATCTGTCAGCTCATCTACATGTAATACTTTGACCTAAATGCATCAAGTTATACTTGGATTAATATGTTTTGTAGTGGCTTACAGTTTAAAATGTCTTTCAGTTATATTAATTGAGTTCCTTGCTTATTTTAGTCGCTGATCTAGTATTCTAATTTATGCGCATTAATTAAGACGTAATTAATAATTTACAGACTCAGGATGAAGATTCGGATGGTAAGAGCCGAGCCACTTCCTGCGAGTCAGAGGATCCTCTGAAGATTTTAGAACAACAGCAAGATCTCCTTCACGAATACAATGCAGACAGCGGCTACGAAGCAGAGTCCCAGCGGAACGGAGATGAAGATCTGGACCTTAACGAGTCCATAACCCCGCCCACCCCTGATAGCTCCAAGCTGTATTATGACATTACGGGGGTGGAAGGGTCCCCTCAGTGTACCTCCACCCCCCACAAAATTATCGTGGAATCTGAGGAACAGTTTGTCTAGTCCGAGAGTTCCAGGAAATTGTCGAAGTGTTGATTTTTTTTTTCCTTGGTGCTTTTATTTTAAAATTCAATGTCTCATTTGTTATAAAAATTTTATGCTCATTTAATTTAAGAATATACTGGATATGTGTTTTAAAAACATGTATCCTTGCTGATAGATGTTTTTTAATGTGTTCAAAGTTCACTGAGAAAGGAAAGGGATCTTAGGTGTGTCCTACTCAATAAATTATTGCTGTGATCAAAATATTTAATCTTCAGCAGAAATTTGATCATTGAATATGTGTATTATCTTTTTTCAACATGTAAAACAATCCATTAGTTGTTTGGTTTCTTTTTTAATTGTAAATTGTATGTCATTCCAGTTTGCATGTGAAGTGGGATTGAGAAAAAAAACTTGCAAGATACTTATAAAGTTCAAAATAAAATATAATGTAATTTCTGTGCAATTTTTGTGAAATTTGGGGCTTTTAAAGGGCAGGATTTTTAAACAACTTTAACTTTTGAGAAAAAAGTAATGGTTTAAAAATACAGGTCATCAAGGTTTATTTCTTTACCAAAGAATAGTTTACATGGCTGTAGAAACATCCTATTTTATATTTTAAGGTGATTCAGAATCAATTTGAATAATTTGTTGGCATTCAGCTTAATTTACATTGGGGAAAATACTAGTGGTATTACACATCAAATTGTGAGTGTAGAATTATTGTGCAAATTACAATGATTTTAACCACAGACATTACCCATATATGGTAAATTAAGCACATTATAAAATGTGAAAATCAATGAATGTGTATTTCTACCTCTGTCATAGTGGCTTAGATATTAATGTGTATGTTCAGAGAGGGAATTTATTTAAAAAGTGAAAAAAAGTGCTTTGTTGAAGTTAGTTCTTTAACTGTGTTGTGACGCCTAATACTTATACAAGACAATTTTAGTGTATGTATGTTGAAAATTGTGTTATTGAAGTTTTTATATTTAAACATTCCAGTGCTGATTTCAGCTGTTTATATTTATTGAAAGAAATGTACTTTTTATGAGATGTGAATTTTTTCTTCTCCATTCATTAACTGACATGAAACTGAAATCAATTCACTATTTAAACTAATATTGGAGCAAATCTGTGCATTTTCAACCCCAAAGAATCTCAAATGCACGATTTCCTTGAAAGAAATGAATTTCTTTCATTAATCAATATGTAGTAGGTAGGAGTTGTCTTTCCTGCTCTATGCTTTATGTTCTCTTTTTTCAAGGCAGCATTGACGTAAAGTATTGCAGAGATATATAATTAAGCAATATATAATTAAGTGTAATATAATTAAGATATATGGATGGAGTTCACATTTCTCACCGTGTATGTTACCAAAGAAGTGCAATAAAATCCACTACAAAGTTTTCTGCTGCTTTTGTTTTCATATTACATAGAGGAAAGAGGACAGACCAATATTTAACATGTGCAAAAGATTTTTTTTAATTAACAAAGACTAGTTAGTATTGGGAATGTTAACAGTGCAGACTTGAATATATGACCGTCAAGAACAACTGTCATATGAAAATAAGTTTACATACATGACTGGCAAGTTTTACTTCTGGCAAAACTATTTCGTCTTTTTAAAACACATCAAAAACAAAATAAAAGGGGCTTTACCCCTACCTCACCCCCTACACTGTTCCGTCCGATATCTGCTGACCCCCCCCCCCCCCCCCACCCACGATGCCGACATGTGCATATTCTTTCCATAGCTACATGACCTCTAACTTTAAATCTATAATATCACTTTTCTTTTGGAATTGTAAATGTTGATACACTGTATTTCACTTATTTGTACTAAAAAACAAGATAACCCTCAAGTGTTTGTAGAATGCTGCGCTGATTGCAAAACAGACGCAGCTGACGAGACATTGGCAAGCCATTGAACTAAATCTACACTGAGAAAAGAAGTACTTGAACCTTTGAGAATAAAAGTTCTTTTTGGGTGTCACGAAGGTAGACGATCTATCGCATTTCCACTTTTTTTTCGAAATTTGGAAATTTGAAAAAAATTTAAAATGTTGGCTGGTTGCGATAATCCAGAGTAAGATAGCCCTGTAATAAGATTAACCTTCAAACTGCTGAGTACAGAACTTTTAAACAATTGCGCGGCGTCGAATTCTACGCTTCGACAGTAAAATGGCATTTCATCAATTTCTTTTACAAAGTATCCTTTTTTTTTAAATTGTTTAGATGCCAAAAGTTTCATTTCAAGATTCTCAACAGACTGTTATTGTCTAGTCGACGAGGGTCATAAACTCACAATCAAAAATGTAGCTTCGTTTTTCAGGGAGAGGGGAGGGAGGGAGTAATTAACATGTACCCCAAAAAAGGTTTTTTTTAAAAATTCGGAGGAAGACTTTTTTGTTCCCACATTTCTTTTTAAATCTTTGAAAACATGGGAAAGTTTTACCATATTTTGCAAAAAACAGGGGGGGGGAGGGTATTGATTGATTATATGTTGTTTTACGTCCCTCTCGAGAATTGTTCACTCATATGCATACGCCACCACTTGCCGGTGGAGAGCTGCAAATTTTGTCCTTTATTCCACACTTACGGCCATTGAGCAGCGAGGGATCTTTTTCGTGCCAGCACCTACTTCGACACGGGACCTCGGTTAATACGATCTCATCCGAACGCTCTTCACGTCCTACAGTGGGATTCGAACCTGCGACGAAAGAATATACGCCTAACCTTGCTACTCTAGAGCAGACCACTGCGCGTCACGCTGGCGACTAAAAGAGAGGGAGGGGTTCAATGTATAAATCCTTTCCATTCTGAATTAGCGCCTAAACATTTCTGTAAAAGGGAGGGTGACCACTTGTCACCCAGTATAGGCGCTTGCAAATGCGACAAGTACGTTTTAAGGTAACATTTTTATATCGCTGCAGGGCAGCCATGTTGCATCGTTTTTGAAAGGGGGGAGGCAGCCAGAGAAAATTTTTTTTTACTTACTTGAAAAAGTTGACAAGCGCGCGAAAATCCTAAAAAGCCAACTTTTTTTCAATGCCAACTTCTTTCAGTACCAAAATTTTGAGTATTAACACTACATTTCCCTTATATCAAATTCCGAAAATCCTAAAGTTTTCCAATAGTAAGAGTAATGTTGGGAAAAAAGTGGGGGGTTGGGGGTTGGCAAGGCCCCAGTTGCGGGGGGGGGGGTTGAAGCCAACTTTTTTTCAATGTCAACTTCTTTCAGTACCAAGTTTTTGAGTATTCAACACAACATTTCCCTTATATCAAATTCCTGTAGTATAAAGTGTGGGGGGGGGGGGGGGGGAACCAGCCTTTCACTAAAGTTTTCCGATAGTAAGAGTAATGTTGGGAAAAAAGTGCCCCCCTCCCTGCTTCTACGTGCCTGCAGGGTATGTATCACGGACCGGACTCCTGCAATTTGTTTCAGTATGCTGTCCCTAAACACTTGAAATTCATAAAATTTTATAAAAGCTATCTTGAGGATGGAAAAAGGGGGTTGAATAACCTAAGAAGTAGATGATTACATGTTTTTCGTATTTTAACACATTGTTCACAATATTTTTTTGTAGTCTTCACAATGTGAACAATTGTAGACATACAGTGAAATTACAACGAAATGAAATGCCAGTGTCTACTACATGTGAAACGCTCCCCCAATGTTCTGTCTTGATGCGTCTAGATATACAGAGAAATTCCTCCTGGTTGTCAGATATAAAGAACTGATTGTACAGCATGTATAAAAACGTCTTGAGCAGATCGTTTTGGCAAATGATACTGCAATTACTGTTTGCATAGCATTCCCATGGCTGGGGACACATGCCAAGACGGATCCATGTTTGATATCTTTATGTTGGAGAGTTAACTAGAAATATACAAGCCTTTTAGACTGAAACAGACATACACTATATATGATGACCAAATCATTTGAAATATAACCTGGGCAAAGGTTGCATGTTTGAATCCAGGGATATTTTTCTGGGTGTGCTTACAAACCAACTTTGGCATATTTTTTTAAAAATTCGGATAAACTAGGACAAACAAAACTTATAATTACAATAACGTTTAAGAAATCAGCGAATTTAAAACTATGTCAAGTTATCTAACTTGTTATTCTCTGAATTAGACAACTTTAATGTAACATGTGCCCAAATTTAAAAATATAAATCTAGTTTTGGGGTATGAGGGAGGTGGTGAAAGTACCCTATTATGAGCGGGGGGGGGGGGGGGGGGGAGTCCAGTGTCATTTTTGTTTCTTGTACTAAGTATAAATTAGCCGCGTTCTTCATAATGCAGTTTGTACACTATTTTAAATATAGCATCTTATGCAACTGCCGCATAAGAGCGTTTTCTTCTAGTGAACTTTCAATATCTCGAAGGCCATATGCACGCCAAAAGATAGCAGAGAAGTTAGACACATATTGGCGACAATATGTGCACATATAATTTTTCAGTCGGCGATAATATGTGCCAATGATCGACAATATGTTTGGATTAGATACATAAATGTCGTCGACGGTATATTTGTCCTCTACAAAAATTGATTTTTTAAAATTAATATTAGTATATGACAATTGAAAAATTAATATTTTTGTAGGTGACATATTTGTAGGGCGATAATTTGGTATACAAACAATGATGTCGCCGTCCTCTAAATAAATCGTTGACGACAATATACAGCTTATCCACATATATTGTCACTTGTCGGCACGTATTATCGCCGGACTGTTTACCGCTTCCATTCCACAGATCACGTAGATGAAGACCGTAAAGCTGTCATTTATTAATTAATTTCGAAAAATTTTTATTCGCGTTTTTTGCAGGGGGTGACTGATTCCTGGTTTAGAATTCACGCCTTGGGCTTTATTAAGTTTATGAACAAATTGAATTACATTAGACTCTTCAGTGAAAAATATATACTCAACTGGAGTGATATACAAACACTGAAATGTACTTGAGAATTAAGCATTATTAAAAACCGAAAAAAAAGAGGACCCACACGACCTATTAGTCTGTTATTAGATTATATAAATCCATTGCGCTCGAGTATTAGGATAAGCGAAAATTCAGGTAAGTATTTCTTTTGAAATCCAGTTTTTAGTTGGGGTCGACACACGTCTGACTTTTCACCAAATAAATGTACCATCAGATCCAATTTCTATCACTTCTGTTTAATTAAATGTTACCTAGATAGGACCTTGCCGGTAAAGGCTTGTTCATGTTTTTCTTCCATTAAAGTGTTTCTATATTAGCGGACATCGACGTTTGGCCCGACCCTTGCGATCGTTCACATCTCAGGGGTTACAATGACATCAGAATTAGCTATTGTGACATCAAACAGAGGTTGAAACAACTTGGTCTAGAGAATGGTTTAGAGAATGATGTGTTCAGTTGGTATAAGAAAGTAACAAAGCATCAGGAAAGGGGGGGGGGTTAATTTCTCTGTTAAATTATTTTCTTTTCTGAACCCTTTTACATAAATGCATTAATTTTTTTTTAATTAGATTTAACCCAGAAATCTTAAATTTGTGACGCTTTTCTAAGGATACATACTACATGTACTAACAAAGTATTTGATGGGTGGATTAGTAATATTTATTTTTGGACTTATTTTGATGGTTGATGATGCATATTGATATTTTAAATATCGTAGATTGTTTATGGTGTTCATTTTTTTTTCTTTTTTCGCCACTTTATAACTGTGCCATTATTGAAAGACTTTGAACGAAAAACTGAATTTATGCCGTTAAACTTAATTGTTTTACTTATTAATATACATACCAATTAATTTAGTTATTTCTTGATTATTTGTATCATTTGTCCTCGGAATGAGTTCAGCTTTTCAAAAATTTTACCTTTATATTCTCGTAATTATCAAAGGAATAAAGCAGATACTCAGTATATGTTTGCTTTTTGCACAATGCAAGTTCAATATTTGATAAAGTAAAAAAATCTTCATACATTTCTTCAAATCTCTCTCTCTCTCTCTCTCTCTCTCTCTCATAGATCTTTTGATTCAAAACTCCCTTAAGTTATACGGTCTGCTTGACGCTTTTTTTCCAGTGAAAAGCAAGGGGGCAAAGGCTTTCAATTTCACGGAACCATTTTACGTGCAAAAGTAAAGGGGATCATACACGTGATCTATGCCCTGCTCCTCACAGTTAGCGGGTTAGAAGAGGCACCCCCAGAGTGCAGCGATGATCCACTGGCGTTCCACGTAATCTTATGCCTGTCTATTAAAGCGTCGAGATGCGAGTTCGTTTGACAGAGAGTACGCGTGTTTGAGTGGGTCGGACGGTATTATCCTCGCATAACGTGCGCTCCAATACAAAAATGTCAACACTGTGTATTACGATATCGATCAGCTGAGAGGGGGAGACACTGTATCGTAAAAGAAAAAAAAAAGTTTGTTCAGTTTTCAGAGAGTTGTAAAAATTTGGGGAGACACTATGAAGTGGCCGCATTCTCTGTGGATGGGGATTTTATTGTGTGTTATCAGTGTACATTCTCAGGAAAAATGTCCCGAGAAATGTGTGTGCATTCGAGGTTCCACGGTGCGATGCATGTTTCTGCAGTTGGATAGGGTGCCTATAGGAATTCCCACGTCTACAACAGTTTTGTATGTATATTTATATTTTTTTAATTCATAAATATTTATTTACAGTGTTTTGTTCATATTTTTCAAAAATAACACCTGGATAGCAACGGTAGTCGGTATAATAATGAAAAGAGATTTTTTTTTCAATATAAGTTGAACACAAAAACTTTTTTCATACATTAACAACATATTTGAAAAATAAGGTTCCCCTCCAGTAGTATTTGACGTTTGGGTGAAAAATTGCCCAGCCACTTTCACAGAAGGGGCACCTGTGTTTTTCACCTGTGTTCCTCTTATCGAAATGATAACACACCTACAACTACCTGTTCAGAGGTGCTCGCTCAAACATATCACTTCCAGTTGAATTTACCGTCTATAAACATGCATGTCACCAAGCATGTTGTGTGGGACTCTTCTGTAAACTTTTTATGAGAAAAAACAAAATTGAAAAAATTAGCATTTTCTTACTGGCTTTTTATTCTGTTCAGCAATGCTGACAGTTGTGAAATATGTAAATGAATTTTGCTTGGAATTAAAAGTCATTCTGCTTAAAGAGGATTTAAAAATCTTTATACTGAATTGATCTATGAACTAAACTTTTTTTTTCATTAAAGCCATCTGTGGTGTAGCTGTTAAGCTTTAACAAATATATGTAATACTTTCAAAGCATTTTAGTTTACAAACGACCTTTTTTTATTTTGTTATCTAAACATTTTTTTACCACTCATTTCTTAAATTAGGAAAGTATAAGGTTATTTTTTATTTAACGCAGTTAATTTTGAAATGAACAATTTTTTTTGTCCATCAAACAAATTTTCAAATTTAATTTGACCTTTTAAGATTTTCAAACTTTAATACTTGCATTATTTATAATTTTTTTTAGTAGAGCAGAAGTTTTTCTTTCATCTTAGATTTGCATTTTCAGTGTTGCACATCTAGGCTACAAATGAAGTGATCAATTTTCAAAATTTATGCAGACATATGTCTTGTGAAGGAACATTTGGGTTGAATAAACCAATTTGAGAACTTAAAAAAGTGCAGAGATGTATGAAATTTACATGTAACGTAGGTACATTAGTTTAAAAGTCAGGTATTTATAGGCTATTAAGTTCAAGGCTTTCATGCATGAATCAAATCCCTATAGAATCTTTCCATTATAAATGCATGTTCTAATTTACTTATGCATTGTGCTGTGGAACAACAAATCGGGCCACTTTAACTCTGTCCGTCTCTTTAGAGAAAACATATGGCTCGACATGGAGAAAAGAATCTCCAAATTACCACCTGTGAGGAGTTGTTTTAAGATAATCTACTTATCTGGAAAAACTAGATGTTATCACAATATTTGTTTATGCAATCAATTATTTACACAAGAATAAACCTTCGAATATATGGCCAGGTTACTCTGCCTCAGGCCTGGTTGTTTCAGTTGAAAATCCAATACAGAGGCTTTGTTATCTTGTTTTATATGTCTTGGTCTTTAACTTTGATTGTCAACAGCCTTAATCCTTCTTTACTGGAATTATGTCTGAATCAGACACCACCACACACACTTGGTCACTGTAGATCTATTCAGGAGCCCCCCAGTATAGTTATAGAAGTCTGCCATAGCAATTATACTTCAGATATTAAAGTCACAAATGGCTGCTATTTTTCTCCCACTTTTTCCCCTCAGGACTTGTATGTGAGAGAGTAATTTTCAATAATTGGTGATTATTTACAGAGATCAAAAAATTTTATGGAACATTGAAAATCATACTGAGATATAATGTGTTCTTAACACTAGACAAAGATTCATTGACTTTCTACACTAGCTAGCTGCCACATGTTTAAATGGGTGATGTGTCAGTTTCCAATCCCTGGTAAATCCTTATAATTTCACACATTAAATTATTAAATGTAGGATTAATTCAGGTCAGTGAGAGAATATCACCTTTACTAACCCTAATGTACCCACTAATGCCAGTGAGATCACTATATAGTTGGAGGAGGGATTTATCATAACATTTATGAATACCACAGTTTCCTTTGTGTCCTCAATGGTAGAATTTGTAATCACTATTTTATAAGTCTGTTAAAAATATGTGTGATGAGTTTAGGTTCACAGAAGTGGTTGTTTTTTTTCCTATTTATTTGGAGTTACCATGCACTGACTGACTTAATATTTAATTGAAGAATTTGACAACTCCATGGCATGGTTGCCAATTTCAGCACCATTGCTGACGTTGAGCTTACTTCAGCAAGAACTGCAGCCAAAATCAGATTCACTTTTGGGGTGCAGTTATTAAAACATTTCTAGATTTCTTATGTATGGGGGATACCATTCTCTTTGGAATTAATAGTAAAATCTGCATGTATCATTGTGAGTGATAAGTATTGAAATTCCCTCTTCCCTCCCTTCTAGCTGCAGATCTGTAGCTCTCCGAAAAAATATATTGATAGACCGGAGAGCTACAGTGCCACCCATTGAAAAAACTGTATATTTATTGCGCACAAAAAAGTGCGCTGTTTCTCGATTTATTTCTCCATGTTTTTAAAACTGTAATCTCAAATTATTACTCACCGTGTGTTCCTAACATATTCTTTCATTGTTTCCACAACCAAACAATCTACATAATTGTTGTTAATAGCCATTGCAATCATCGGACATTTCGCTTATTTATACTGCCATTTTGGTTTCAAAGATATATTAATTAATAACAATTTTAATTAATATACAAAAATAAAGCTACCTCCCTTCATGTTGGAAAATCTTTTACAGATATATTAATTATTAACAATTTTAATTAATATTAAAAAACGAAAAAAAAATGTTTAAAGAAAGATCTACAAATTTAGGAGTTAAAGAGAATGGAAAGCCAGCTGGTATGACACAATTTCCCAAACTAGCTTGTAGCATGCAGAGTCAATTTTTTGTGAACCAGTTCACCTTCTTTGTTTTAGTTTGAGCTGATTCACTGTTTTTCTCTGCCATGTTTAATGATAAGAATTTGGCTTGACAATTTATTTTCCGAATTGTTCACATTGTCACACTAAGCTCCGTTTATACCAGATCAAGATAAATATGCCAAATATTTCGACTGATTGACTAAACAGCGACGACACTTCAGGAGGTGACGATTTCCTATGGTAGAGGGGAAATTGTTGAAGATTAAGTCATTTGTGTTCTGAAGGGGGTATAATTATGTAACCATCAAACTGAAAAAGTAGCCATTTAATATGAAGGACTTCCTTTCTTCTTGAAATGATTAAATAGGGAGTTTGTTCAGAATTTAAAAAGGAAGGTGAACACAGTACAAATATGCATCAATTAAAACTCTCCCATTTTTATAAAGAAAGTTGTTGACAAAGGATTTTTTTTTTTCAAAAAGATTTATTTTTTTGTTAGTCTTAAAGATTCAAATATCACTTTGTCTGCATGGGGGGAAGCAATCTGGGAAATGTATTTTCTTTTTGCAGCATATCTCCCCTGGGGTACTCAAAGGAAATTTGAACATCAGTGTACAATACATGCATGTATTCATTATACTTGTTCTAGAATTTTAATGTGTCTGTTCCTTTTATGAGAGCTGTATATTTAAGAATTAGATTTCTTGGTAGGCGTCAGGTTAAATTTGTCTGTGACACCTAGGAACTTTAGCAATCTCATTTGTCTGGCACGGACAGAAATTTTATTGGGGGAGGGTCTTGTTAAACAGTTGAATTATCAAATGAGTCCTCTTTAAATGGCATATTTTGTTTGACTCTGGCAAAGTTTTTGTCTATATGTAAATATACTCTGTGGTACGCTCGGGTCATGAATGTGATTTTTATAATGGCGAGTTATCTTCAGTCAATGTGTACTGACAGAGTGCTAAAAATAATTATGGTATTGGTGTACCTTATAAGTGCAATTGGTAGGTAACACTTAAGTGTAAAAACATTGCAGATTCAAAGAAAGTTCCTTTCAAATTGAGTATTAAGGATTAAGTGGGAAAGATTATAGCTAGGATATATATCTTGATTTTCAAGCATCTTTCTTTAATATGGGTTAATTTCAAAGGACCTACCATGTAAATTGCACCAACTTAAAAGATGCATGCTAGCTGGTAGGAATCAATGAAAGTATATATATAATTTCTTTTCAAAAATTTTTAATTCAATTTATTACTTATCTTTCATGGAAAAATTCTAGGTTAAACCCATGCATGAATTTTTCTTCATTAATACTCATGTTTAGTTAGCAAAATCTTCAATATTTAAATATTTGACATTTTTCTCTGCTGAAACACTGAAACTGAATGAAATTCATTTGTCTAAGTAGGTGCTGAAGTTAAATAGCCCCACTGAAGTGACAGAAGTTGATAAATGAATGTTACAGGTCTGTAAATGGTCACCTTTGGTCATTGACCATGGTCACCTATCACTGGGTCACAGCGAGATTCTCACTGGAACATAAATTATTTCTACCTAAATTTTAACATTACTATTCAAAACTGGCAATGAGGTGTAATGTGTCACAGTTTGGTTCTAAAAGAAAATTTAATTCATGCAAACATTTATTAATTCTTTTGTCATCCAAGTTCAAAAATCATAAATTTTAGTAAAATTCATAAAATTTAACACTAAAAAATAGATATATAATCTAACAAACAGGATATCAAACGCTTGCTATATCTCTTCCTAAAATGACCCAAGTATGTAAATATTAAAGTTGAAGTCAGAGTAAGCATTGCAAAAGTTTAGTTTTTTAGCTCACTTGAGCTTTTCTGATCACCTGATGTCCATCTGTCTGTCCGTATGTCTGCCCGTCTGTAAACTTTTGACAGTTTCAACTTCATCTCAAGAACCACAGGGCCAATTTTAACCAAACTTGGTACAAAGCATCCTTGTGTGAAGGGGAATTTAAATTGAGAAACATGAAGGGCAAAGTCCCCTTACAAGGGGAGAAAATCAACAAAAGACAAAAATAGGGTAATGTCATCAAAAAATCTTCTCAAGAACTACTAGACCAGTAAAGCTTAAACTTATATGGAAGCATC